AATCACCATTGCTTTCAAAACGCCTTGTGCGGACGGTGGATGTACAAACGCCCCCAAGACAGCGGGATGGCGTCTTATGTAGGACGGAAAATCATTCATGATAATTACACCAAGCTTCCTCAAAACATTTGTCAGTGTGTCGTCGAGGCAATCATCATTTAGGCATTTGACAACAACGCTAGAAGGGTGGCAAAGTCGTGCCAAGGTTACTGGTGTCTGTACTAGGCTGAGTGGAATCAGAGGTAGTTTTCCAAGGCTCTGAATATCTTCCTCTGTTGTGAAATGTTCTTGGAGATATCTCCAGACAACCTTGATCCAGTCTCTTGGAGGATGGTTGTGCTTACTGTCATCGGGGAACCACGAAACGGTATTGCCCTTATTCCACTCGGCCGGTAAGGCCTCACAGAGAAGAGATGATACATCACCTTCGCATAATAGCCGTAATTGTGTAACTTCTGTGAAGCAAGCATAATAACATAGAGAGTGTCAGTTTCCTTCCTAAAACATGCCATATTAGGACGTTTTCGACCATAATGTTGTAATACGAACGAAAAAGAACGATAACAACCGGCATGAATCAGTCGCCTTTGTCCCTAGCATGTTAAGGCGTGGCTCAAAGCCCAATTTGCACAAAATTTTTCACCAGCCATAACTTTCCAGCGATTTACAAAAACACCTTCAAACTTGGCAACAATATAAAACACACCAGCCTCAACTTATTTTTGGTTTTATGTGGTAATTAGTCGGATCACGTAACCCGTTATCAACACTTGATTGGTTTGAAAGAAAATTGAAAATGGGGTGATAAGATGCCATATAACTAAAATAAATGGAAATGTTATAGCAATTGTCTTGTTGTCCCTTTTACTATTTTGGCCGGAATGGCTGAGTGATGTGTCGTTTAAGAGATAAATAGTTAAACACGTCAGGTGAGATATTTTGTAATTTAATATCTTGTCAGGAAAATCAAAAAAAATAACCATTCAGGGAACGAATAGTTACTTTGAATAAATTCAAAGAACATAAACTGATATCTTATACTTTGCTTCAGCTAACCATTTCCATCCCATTTGAGGTTTTCCGATTGCCGGGATTATGACGTCATTAGAGACGTAACTCTAAAATCTCTTCAGCGACTTAAGGACACTAAATTCTTAATGATATTTAAGTTTGGTCTTCCTATGGCAAAAAAGCAATGATTTTTCTAAAGGAAAAGGGTTTAAACTTCACGGCGGGTCTAACGAAGGAGCGAGCAATGCCTTAAAGTGCACCTAACACCATAATTTTTTTTCGCTAAAATAATAAAGCTTATTTTGTGGTGTAATTTGCTGCAAAAATATATTGATTTGGTTAAATCTTCGAATTTCTATGATCCATCGAAACCGAGTTTCGAATGGTTCGGAATCACGCATGTGGAATCTGGGGAGAGTTAAAAGCTGTCATGTCAAATCCAGAACGAACGCCTACACCGGTTAGGTTTTTTACTTTGCACGTGTAGGAGCCTTTTTGCAACACTAATTTTTGCTGAGACTCCACAGTCGAGAGATTTCTGTTTTTACTAACAATGTCTCTATTATCTCGCTAAAGTTAAAGAACCGACAAAAATGACGAGTCATGCTCATCAACATGACGACCAAGCTGATTTATATGCTGACGACCCTCTGGCCAAGGAGGAATGGACATTAAGTACCAGGTGGATGCTGACAAAGAACTCAAACGAGCACTGAAGGGCAGACTCGAAGGCAATGACATGTGGAAGTCAATGAGCCATAAGACTGTAGCGCGTGGCGCGTGTTTACTATTTTCACATCTTCTTCGATCGAGCATTAATATACTTTTGTAACATCAGTCAAGTCTGTTCACTTTCTCGAATTATTTCAACTTCATACATTCAATGTACATCAAAATGATTATCCCTTGACACAGTGTTTGGGTTCTTTACGTGCAAGTGTGGAAATTGTAGTATCGCTTCCCTTCAAAACATCAGCGAATGCTATTGTTGTAGTGAGTTAGAAGGTTGTCAAGGCTAAAAGAAGAGTGATCTCGTTCTTGAAGATATTGGCGCTCATGCTATCTTTAAGTGTGTGACTGAATGTCCAGGATTTAACCGGTATGCCTTCAAACATGGAGTTTAAGATTAGCAGCGGTCAAATATAAAACTATAGAAAAGCAAACCTATTGCCAAACTGGCAACGAAGGAGGTAAGTCAGGCATGTACATGGCTGTATAAAATAAAAAGTGTTTCCGAATCCCTCTTTACATGCACGCACGCCATATTTTCTTAACAATGATTCTTCCAATTTACAAGTATAGTTGTGAAATGATCAGTTA